TTATTCTCATTTCAAAGGGAACTGAAGCCAAAAATATCGGTTATTCTTGTCTTTGGGATACACTAGGTAGAAAAAAAATACAATTGAGAGCTTACTTTACATTAATTTTAAACTATTGTTTCATTACGAGATCCCAGGTTATTTCAAGTTGTGTATGATTTTTCATTTGTTCTCTCAAAGCTCTAATTGCATCTAAATATTCATTTTCAGCAAATGAGGAGTCGACGTGTTATTTTTATAGCAGATTTTATGACTTAGTGTTTAAAGAAAGAAGTAAAATCATCATAGCACTGAGAAGCAGTTCACTTCATGGCTGAAAGGTTTCCTGAAATGCATCGTCGATCAACGTAGCGCCCTCACGTCCTCAGAAGCTTTAGGCTGATGATGAGAGTTCTTCAAAGCATTCCCTCCGGGACAAACATGTTGATCAATGTTTTTATGCAAATAAATAATCAAAACCGATATACAAGCCTGAATAACTCGCACACACATTAACGCGACTACATATTAATTCCCCACCGATGAATAGTGAGCACGGATTTATGTCATCGCATTATGTATAATCAGACAAAAGAGATCTGACTCGATGTGGCCCGATAGTGACACAATGATTTATTCGTGTTAAATAAGACGACGAAATAAATAATAACGTTCGAGATATATAGAAAAGCTCCAGCGGTCACCAAAGCTCATTGATGTCATAACGTGAATAGACATCGAGCTTTTAATAAATAAATATTTACTAACAATCACGCCACGTTAACTGGTCCCGTGATAAGTTCGTAAAGAACTTGTGTTACAGGTACCAGATAACGGATATAAATGTAAGATTTTTATTATACACATACATATATTTAATATACATCCATAACCCTGGAAAAGACATTTATATTTAATTTTATCATACAAATATTTTCCCTTGGCGGGATTCGAACTCGCGACCCCCTTGTGTAGTGACCATGTCACTTACCACTACACCAGACGGCCGTTTAAATGTAATTTTTAACGACTGTCCTACTTTTCTTTCCGCAACGCTCGAATGCTTCGTGGCAGGAATAGGCAGGTAGATGGCACGTATCCATTCGGGCACAAATATAAGCTCTACGCTGGTAGCTTATTTAAGTTTTGTTGAAGTGAAACTTCCTTATCGGCGTTGGAAAAAAATTTACCGTCACATTTTTCGGTTACGCGTCACTTTTTTCCGTTACGCGCCATCTGTTTTGTATTCATGTCTATGATAATAAAATCCTTTTGTTTAAACTTTATCTAATTTAACTTTTTGAAGTGAAACTTCCTTATCGGCGTTGGAAAAAAATTTACCGTCACATTTTTCGGTTNACTGATCGCGCGTTTCTCTCATTATTGTATTTTCATATATTTGTTAGTCGTTTGTTTTGTGTCTCGTTAATTTGTTAATAATCTGTAGTGTATCGTGTTGTCGTAATATAGAACTATTTCTCGTATTGTTTCGTTTAATTTTTTATATCCAGTAAACTCCAGTCGTGCGTCGGAGCGGACACACACACTTTTTTTCTTTGTTTACTATTTAACAACTATCTTCACAAATGGATTAGTGTTTTTAACATTGATTTTTATTATTTCTGAAATGACTTATAAAATTATTACGAATTTAGTTTCCAAAGCACAACTTGAATCTGAGTATATTGTAGCGATCCCGGAATGCGTAGCGATGTGATCTGGCTGCGAGAGTAAGTAGAGTGCGTTGGCCCCAAATATCGACGTTGGTATCCACGATAAAGTCATATTTTCTGGTGGGCAGTGCTCTTATGCGCAAATCTCATCAAATATCTTACTTATATTTTACAGAACAACAAAGTTTCAACAAACTTTCTCAATTAAATTACAAAACACAAGAGGCTTGTTATGAGTTGTAACAGTTGCTGGCTTGTATCAGGCATCGTAATGAAGGTGCGGCGTCGCTGCTTCGAAATCGGGTAAGAACTTAATTCAACTTTAGTTTTATTTTACTTGAAATCTGTTTGTATCATACGAGGTCCCATGGCTGAAGATTATTCAACCATATTCTTGAAATATGTTACTGGCCTAAGACAGTTTTAGCTGTGCCAATAGAGGCTAATGAAATAATTACACAGTTGAATAATTTTGAAATAAAACAATCTATTACCTGGGTTCTAATATTTACTTAACAAGCTGCTCTTAATTTAGATTACTAAGCTGACAACATCCACTAACGGCACTAACTGCCAACGATGTTTCTTTATCAGCTCTAAAACATCGTAAATACGGCTAGATTGAGAAGAGTGACCTTTCACAATAACGACGTAAAGTTGAATTTAGTTTACAGCATAAATATACGGCTATTTGGTGCTGTTTGAAAAAAAAAAACAAGAATTAGTCACAACGTGCAGCACGAGATTTTCCATGCGCTAAAGTTAATAAAGAAATTTATAATAAAGATGTTGTTTATTTGAATATATGTATGCGTACAATAAAAAAAGGAAAAATGTAGTTACGTATGTTTGCAGGTATGGTGGAAGCTTAATCGACGATGAGGTCTTAAAAAGGATCATCAGGGGTCTGCTTGTCCTTCTATAATATCTTCTTCTGAGTCGGTCTTTACATTACTGGAGGTCGTGTCTAGTTTGAAACGTTGACCTCTCGATCCACTTTACTTTCCCATGTCTTCCTGTCCTTGGCTGTCTTTATAGCCTAGGTTATTAGCAGGCCGGTGAGCGTCTTTGCCAGATCAGACCAGCGGTTAGGCGAGCATTCGCGTGATTTTTTGTCCCGTAAACCTGACCAACTAACATCAGCTTCTCTAATTTTAGGGGGGTCTCTACAAGTGATGTGTTAGATTATGTCTAAGTAACACCAAAGTGAAGGAAGTTTTGCTTCTCTACTCAAATTAGTTCTGGCCCATGAAGTACATATGGGCGCGCAACACTGGTAGACAGATTTAAATAGAATGCACGACATGTCAAATTATTATTTGACTGAAAGACACGAAGAGCTTAGCTCGAGGAAGCTATCGTCATTGTTGTCGGGCCTGATTCTATCAACTAAGGACTAGGTGCTGCGTGAACTAATCCACCCAGTTATGTTATTCTACAAGAAGTAGGTAAATTTATGAATATAAATATAAAATAAAAGTAATGTAATAAGTAATTTTAAGTAAGTATTCAGCTTAATGCTATTAAATATAAGTTTGAGTACCGAAAATAAATCATTTATTATTATTATTAACTGTGATTATTATTATTGGGCTGATCCTACACACGTCTATTTCTTAGTATCACGTCGTTAGCAATTCAGTGTTACTTAGTACAGTTAATTTGATTTACAAACACGTTACTGATCGATTAACACAATTATATGAATTCAAATTAATAGACGCGAGTTTCATGACTCTGTAACCTTTAAAGAGTAGATGGGGGCTGCTGTGTCTCGTAGTAAATGAGTTGTATCGTATCCATAACAACAATAACAATTAAGTTATTCCAACCGCTAATTAACAAAATAATTTCTACTAAAGTTAATTCGATTTGTATTCAAATTGTGAATATTTAGGATTCCAGTGCTGAATTAAAAATTTATCTGTCTATTTTATTTCATGGCAGAGCTATTTTACTTGTTTTTTTTTCCAAATATTTATTATACGAGCGGAATAAAAAAAAACTACTAATAAAAGTATAATGCATGTTGTCAAATGGAGTATCATTGAATAGGTCTTAAGTTAGTATAAAGGTTTCTAGATGAGGCAGTGTAAAATCTTTATGTATTTACGCCCCCTGGCTAGATGGTGCGATGAACTTTTTTTTTTTTTTTTTTATTGCTTATATGGATGGACGATCTCATAGGCCACCTGGTATTAAGTGGTTACTGGAGCCCATAGACATCTACAACGTAAATGTGCCACCCACCTTGAGATATAAGTTCTAAGATCTCAGTATAGTTACAACGGCTGCCCCACCCTTCGAACCGAAACGTATTACTGCTTCACGGCGGAAATAGGCGGGGTGGTGGTACCTACCCGTGCGGACTCCCAAGAGGTCCTACCACCACTGACCTCCGAACGGTGACCGTCAAGAGGTGGACGGAAGACCGGGCTCAGTGGTGTGGATTGGTACAGGCCTATGTCCAGCAGTGGACGACTGTGGGCTGATGATGATGATGTATTTAAAAATAATAATTAAATTACACACCATTACAAGTTGGGCGATAAAAACGTTTTTAATAAATTAATTTTGTACGTATGTTATTACATGTGTACATGGAATTTTCATCCTAAATAATGGTGTCTTTCATTGTGAAACTTCTGTCAATATATTTTTTTATCAATGAAAGCCGAGTGCTCGAAATTAGACCAGAATCACTTAGTAATTAACAATTAATTTTATAAATCACATTTCCTCTGTTGTTTCGTTATTGTAATTTTTTATTGTACGTAAATTGTTGTTGGGAAAAAGAGTCCAACTTTTATTTATTTATAACACTACAGTTCGTCAATAGACACAGAAAAAATAATAAGTCCAGCCCAAACGTGGTAGAATATTCAGAAGTATTCTATCTTATTCACTTGCAGACAAATTCTAAATTCGTTAATGTATGTAGCTTTTTAGTCTCACTTTTCAAGCGTCATTTTCTATTCGTTATATTTTAAAACAAAAAAACTGTAAAGAAAAAGTAAATTAGTTTGAAGAAAGGTGAGATAAATTGCTTTTTCTTTGTTTATTTATGTGTTAATAATTTACATATTATTTTTTTGTGTCTTCTAAATGTGCATAAAATATTATAATGTGTGTAAATTGCCTTTAAGAAAGATAGCGTTTCAATGGGAGGCGATAAGTAAGCTTTCAAATTCTTCAATCAGCTAGGATTAGCTTACAGTTTGACATAATTACTTACCTGGGATTTTACAATTTGAAATTTATAAATATACAGTCTATGGTGGAGCACTGAAAAGGGATTTCAGGCTCCGGGCGAGGGGTGAGGGGGAGTGCCGGTTCCCCTCCGGTCTCCGGCAGTGTGTGTCGGACCGGCGCGGCGTGTATGTGTCCTCGCAAGCTGTCCCCACGGTACGTCAGCGAGTGCTAGTGATGTGTGCTATGTGAATTGCCATACGCTAGAACAACCTATAATCAGTGGATGTTTATAAAGGGTTTTGTTCATTGTGGACAATCATTTTAGGGATATACCTCAGAATTTCATAAAGCTAAACTGTGCTATTTTATAATAGTTACGTTGCCCTTTAACTATTTTCGCGCAAAACTACGATCCAAATATTTTTTTAAAAACAGTTTAAATATCTGGTTTAATTCCACGTTCGCCTTCGTTTACTTAGTCTGTATATAGTTCAATTTGGTAAGTTTTTGCTTGTTTTTACGACAAAGAATATCACCGCGAAATGTATTAAGATTCGAAGAGCGTGGCCCACGTGCCTCTAATGCGGTGAGGTCGCCGATTATCAGGCGATTTTTCGCGCAAAAAATGTCTTTTAGGATTTCCAGAACATAGCGAAATTGAAGATTATCCTCCTCCATCGAGATTTTATGTCGGTCCGAGGGAATTTCTATTAAATTAATTTGGAAACTGAAAATATTTTTCTCTCCGGAGTGATAAGTATTTTTTAAATGAATTTAAGGGCAGCTAAGTGTCTTACGAGTTTCCAAGAGCCAAGTTAAAAGTACTTAACGTCTTTACATGATTCATATCACAGTATAAAATGTTTCGAGTCGACTTGACAGATCTCGTCGACTCGGAGGACTGATTTGCTTGAAGCAGTTGCATGCGATTAGGTATTTATTTTCCAGAGCGAAGTGGAGCAGTATAGTAAGGAAAACTGACCCCACCACCATGTGGGATAAATAGCTAGGAAGAGAGAGAGAGATAGAGAGAGTTGCATGCGATTATTTACTAGTTATATGTTTTTCATTTAAATTATTTGACTTTAAAATACTCTGGTACATCTCAGTTATAATTTAGCTTATTAATATGACATGATCGATCTTTTTACGTATTGGTTACTGTCGCACATAACTGGCGCCATAGAGTATTTACATGGAGGGCTTACGACAGCTCCGAATTGATTTGAGCACAGCCTTTGCTCACACCGAACACCACAGAATCAACAGACCGCTCAACTTGAGCACTCGCCAGCAGCTTCACATTGCGTACCTTGTAAATACTTTATGGCATATATATAGGTATATCCGTATACATATTCTTATACATATCCGAATACGTATAATACGAATACGTATACATTTCCAGAGTATTAAATGTTACGTGCATTGACCGAATGAGTAACGAAAATAATATGTTAGTTTTTTCTGTTCATATTTCTAAAGGGGTGGCTTTAAATAATTTAATAAGCCACATGAATCTGCCACTAGTGTCTGCCAATACATTAAATATACTTCTTAAGGCAAAAATTTGAGACCTTTGATGAGTGATTATTAAATGCGTATTTGCTTTTGTGATTACTTGTAATTGAAAATGAGCTCCTTCTATTCAAAATTCAATACCAAACTGAAGGACGGGCTAACCATCATCCTCTAATACAAAAAAAACCATTGGTCTCATATGACGTCATCACTTCTGATTTTTTAACGTGTAAATAAGTTATAAAATATAGAGCTTTTTCATTTTTGGTTAAATTAATTTTCTAATTTCTAAATATTCTAATTTTCTCATAGACGCGGTTAATGTCAATACATTTAATTCAATACGTTTTGTCAATACGTAAATCCTTTGTGCGCCTTTTGAAGACAATTGAGCACCGTAGACTCAATCGGAATATAAAATTTGGCTTATTTAAGTTGTACGGTGGACATTTCTCATTTGTATGTATGAGATTGGATATTTTTTTTTAATTACGGTCAGATATCAAGAACTGGCCGACCTACTTACTAGTTTAATTTAAAGTTTAATATTATATTTTCACCGAAAATTAATTTCATAAACAATACATTAACGGTTCGCTTAATTTGCCCGACCCGCGTCATAGCCCTAAATTTAATCAGAATTTTAAAGAAATAAAATTTACGGAATTACTTTCGGACACGAAGACTATTCAAGAAATAGCACACATTTTTAAAAATAGTATCTACATGAACAAATAAATATAACCAATAGAGTTGAACGGTCGCGTGCTCATGAAGCCAATTAAACTAAACGTCATAACAAAAATAAAGGGGAAACGTCAATCTGTTCGTTTTCAATTAGATTTTTTAATTATTATTTCTCTATCTTAATGGAGATGTCGCTGAAAGGGATGTCAACGGAAAAATATTTTTCGGAAAAACTGATATCAATCAGTAAACGAAGACTTAATTGCGTGAATGTTTATTTTGTAATGTCAAAACTTTGTTGTTTCTTTGTACAAGTAATATTGTTCTTACAATACAGGTCATGGTTGTCACCGAACTGAAGACAGTTGATACCGTTTCGTCTACTTTAAATATAGATCATTTATTAAGGAATAACATAACGTTACCTGCTGACCAAACTTGTTCGATACTCTTACAAATCGCGCACTGGGTCGTTCGAGGCCTACGCTAGGAACTATGTTAGGAACGCTAATATTTCGCACATGCCGTCGCATCCATCTAAGATCGGTACTGCGGACCCTGTCTTAGGCTGGCATGGTTTGTAAAATCTAAAGTATAACGAAAAGTTAAAATGACCCACTGTTGACACCCGTGCGTTGCTGCGTTGCTTCTGCCGCCATCTAAGACAATTGCCGAGGAGTGATCTTTGTGACTGGTATTGAACATAGGCGATGCTTTTCAAGAAATAAATAAAAACCTTTTGCAACAATAAAGGTAAAAGATATTTAGAAAGAGTAGTGTACTACGAGGCCAGATGGATTCCATGTCGATTGTGAGAGAAATAGGAGATAATTGTAAGCAATAAATCTAAGCAATAAAAAAAAATCTAAGCAATAAAAAAAAACTTAGGAAGCTAGGGCTAGGGCCATTAAATGTAGAATATAAATTGATTAGTTCACAATTTTTTGTAATTTAGGAAATCTAACATATATTTTGTTCATGAATGACTAACGATGTGTAAATGGGACATTAAAATCATAAATTTACCTGAGCACTGGCGGTAGCGCGTGCTGTGAGTCCGCACGGGTCGATTCTGGTGTCCTGTTTGTAATTATAATAGCAATGTAATTTTGACTATTTACTTAAATATTTTTTGTACTGTTTTTATTGCGGAATAACCCGAGGAGACTATTACATGTTCACAGTCGATCCGCTCATAAAGCTCGTGTCTCTTAATGCTCAAGGTAAGATGGCCTTAATGGATCTAATTTATTGTTGGATAAGTCTATTCAGGATTTAGTTGTCTCCGGGGATCGCTAATAAGCTCTCCACTCCGGCCCTACAACAGGGCAGTAAGGTAATTTAAATTCGTGCACATACATATTTCTAACAATTTTGCGTAGGTCTTTTATTTAAGACACAAGTTGAAATTGTCAAGTCTGTTTCTCTTTTACGTTTGTGCCGTCATATGCATACCACGGTTATGACTCACAGTGTCGATTGGCTTCCGGGCCTCTGTCCCAATACATTGGTGGGCCAACAACTTTTTTGGAAACAAGTCTCTTGTCGGATCAGACGCTCAAACGGAGTTGTGTGTAGTTGTCATCTTGCCATTTTAATACGCTTTTTATTGTTTGTGTTTTGTCGTCCACTTCTAACTAACATTAAGACAAGTCATTTAAATAAATCGTAATTTAAAAATCTGTTCCCTTGACAGATATCCGTAAAACATTAGAACCAATAATTACAATTTGAGTTTCAAATTTGTTTTGAGTTAAAAAAAAGTTGAATTTATGAAAATGAATATCTAATATTGAATACTATTCAATAAAAAATTTATTTGATTTTCAGAATTAAAAAAAAAAACTCGCTTAAATAGCAACCCGAATTACTATAAAAATTCCAATACCATCCAATTCTAATACAATCTAACACAATACCATCAAAATTAATATAATCGTTTTTTTAGCTTGGTATCAATCCAGCATATTAAGGCAAAGTAATGAATAAATGAATGTATTTCATTGCAAAAATAGACATTTAGTTAAATACAGAGAAACCTAAATATATTTATAAACGCCTTTTACCCGTAATAACGTTTGTGCGACACACTTTATGATTTGTTTCAATTATTTCGAACACTTTCGAAAGGTCTGAGCAAAATTTGTAAAGACGATTCACAAACACTAGAAGTAGTATAATATAAAGGTTATCTCACTAACGATAAGCACTTAAAGCTGAACAGAAAGCTCGTTCGCTAAAATTGCCAATAAATTGCCTTTATGCCGAAGACGATTAGAACTTTTAGCACTGATTTAGTAATAGAGACTTGTTTTACAATTTGACAGCACCGCGAAGGCCTGTTTTACAAAGTGGACTTTTTGTTCTATTTATAATATGTACACGGGACTTATTACTGGTGGTAGGACCACTTGTGAGTCCGCGCGGGTAGGTACCACCGCCCTGCCTATGCCGCGAAGCAGTAATAAGTTTCGGTCTGAAGGGCGGGGCAGCCCTTCTAACTATGCTGAGACCTTAGAACTTATATCACAAGGTGGGTGGCGCATATACGTTGTAGATTTCTATGGGCTCTAGTAACCGCTTAACGCCAGGTGAGCTGTGAGCTCGTCCACCCAATTAAGCAATAAAAAAAGGCACCATCTTGCTACCGTGAAGAAATACGTGTTTGACAATTTAACGGTAAACGGTAGGCAGGGGCTTGGCTTTGGCCGTGGCATTGCTAAAGTCCATGGGCGACGGCTACCACTTACCATAAGGAGGGACACATGCTCGTCTACGAGGGTAATAAAAAAAAATCTTTAAAAATAAAGCAGAGCCGTAGACGTAATTAATATTACTTTTACGGCTTAATCTTCTATTTATTATTTTCATTTCTTTACTTTCGATCATTTAAATACTTTATTGTACTTCGGTACGTTGAAATAATATCACTTATAAGTGGGCTGCGGTGTTCACATCACGGTATCTGCCGGCGGTTCAGATTAACGTGAGTGGAGGGTCCAGAA